AGCATAAGATTTTCAGTCCTTTTCATGGTTAATCTTGTTTGTCACCTTGATTGGATTGAGAGAAACTTAGGAAATTGGTAAAAACATTTCTGAATGTGTTTGTGAGTGCATTTCCAGAGATGATGAACATGTGGCTCAGTAAACTGAGGGGGGACCTGCCCTAAACATGGATCATATAGTGCAACAGGCTGGGGCCCAAGGGAACAAAATAGGAGGAGAAAGAAGCCCACCAAGCTCTTTTTTTTAATATTTATTTTTTAGGTGTAGATGGACACAACACAATGCCTTTATTTTTATGTGGTTCTAAGGATTGAACCCTGGTCCCACCCGTGCTAGGGGAGTGTTCTACCACTGAGCCACAATCTCAGCCCCAGCGAGCTTGATTCTTGAGCTGGTGTACCTAGTGTATTGCTTCTGCCATCTCCCCTGGACATTAGACTCCAGCTATTTCTCTTTCAACATGGACTCTCACCAGTGGCTCTCTATGGAGCTTTCAGGCCTTCACTCTCAGAGTGGGGCTGTATCATTGGTCTATCTTTTTCTGAGGTCTCCATCTTGTTGGACTGAGAAGTTACTAGTTTCTCTCTCTCCAATCGACAGCCATTGTGCGACTATCTAGCCTCTGAGGATGTAAGCCAGTCTAATAAATCCCCTTTTGTAATTATAATTATACACACAAAAATCTAGATATGTGTGTGTGTGTGTATACTATTGGTTTTTTTCCTCTAGATAACCCTAAAAACAGATCTCTTATTCAGATATTAAGACTACATAAATCATAATTATACAATATAAATATTTTTGAAGATTCAATGTTGTATAATTTTCAATTCTCAGTCTGATCTATGGGTTCAATGCAATTCCACATTACTTCCAGTCATGTGTTCGTGAAAATTGACATTTTATAGAAATGTAAAAGAACCAGCTTGTTTAAAGCAAACTTGAAGAGTTACAGAATTTTCTCAGAATTAAAAATTTAAAAAACAGAAAGAGATAATTTGATTTAAAGACATATTAAAGCTAATTAAGAACTGATGTACATACAGACACACAGACTAACAGAAAAGAAGAGAGACAAGAGTCCATCCTTATAGGAGTGCTTATGTTAAGATGAAGGTGGCACTGCAGAGAAATAGGAAAAGGGCAGCTTTCTCAATGAATATCCTGGATTGATTGGTTATACATGTGAACATCAAATGAAACTTGATATCTTTCTTCAAAATTTCTTTAAAGAGTAACCTGATAGCTAGTGTAACACTTCTTCTTCATGATCACTAAAGGACACTGATTTTTTGTAAGATTTATAATTAACTGAAATTATCTCTCTCTTTTTTTGTTTTTTGCTTTGTAATTATTTGCCCTGCACCCAACACAATTCAAAGTTGTTAACATCAAGGACTGTGTTTGTTAAACCATCTTTGTTCCTGGATTGTTTTGAACATTGCCTGGAATAACTGTAAGCTTTTGAACATATAAATAAATATATAAATCTGCCAAGAAAGTTAAGGATGAGAAGATCAGATAATCATTTGGTATAGCACGTGAAGGATGAGGAGAGTGTTCTTGGGAGGGCCTGGAATGAGGTCATGGTTTGGAACATATTCCAGATGGCAAATCAAGAAGGCATAATAAATGTGTAGGATCCCAGTTTGACTAAGTGGACTATTCTTATATATAGTAACTGGAAATATTTATTTAAAATGAAAGCAGAGCTGGAATTGTGGCTCAGTGGTAGAGTGCTCACCTAGCATTCGTGAGGCACTGAGTTTGATCCTCAGCACCACATAAAAACAAACAAACAAAATAAAGATATGTGTCCATGTAAAACTGAAAATACTTTAAAAAATAAAATGAAAGAAATCATTTATTTGGTCACAAGTCTCAGATGGCTTATATCATTTTCTCATTTTTGTTTATGAAAAAAATATTTCTCATTAAAATATCCCAGGGTTCTAAGAATTGTCCATTCTCCCTCCAACTTCTCAACCTTCTCCACTTTGGGGCTGTGCGAGCAGAGACTGCTCAACACTTACTTATGTTACTTACTATTATGTAAGTCTATTTTTTTAAGTCAAGTGTGTGCACCATGCTTATCAAGGTTTGTTTTTTAATACAGATTCCTAAGTTTTCCTTCTGAAAGTTTAAAATGGAGGGTCTGGGTTAATTTGATAGCTAGCTCCTCAGGTGAGTCAGACATACAGCAGGCATGGGAACTACCAAATTCTTACCTGAACCCTTGCTAACTGGAGTGTGGTTCACCAATCACATTAACCTTAGAAACTGTGAACCTCTGGGGATGAAAAGTGGATGGCTGCTGTGGAAAACAATGTGAAGTTTCCTCCAAAAATGAGAAATAGAACTATTATGGGACCTAGCAATCCCACTTCCAGGATTTTAGCAGGATCTTGAAGAGATATTAACACCTCAGTGTTCATTGAAGCCCTCTCCATAACAGCTAAGATGTGGAAACAACCTTCCACAGTGTCTATGGAAGGATGAATGGATGAAGAAATGTGGCATATACCTAAGATCTTTAAATTTTGAGAAGCAGTTTTGGGTCTAAACCACTGTACTCCTGGATGCTCACCTCTGGGAACCTGTTAGGAATACAAATTATTTGCACCCTAGATCTAAATCAGATTCCTCTGTCTTAGAAATCTCTTTTAAGAGATCTTTCATAAGTTTAAGAAACACTAACCTATACCATGATCTTGCCTTTGAAAACCATTGACCCAAAACCCTCATTATCTGTTTTAATCAGTGACTATTTCTAATTTTAACTCAGAATATAATTTTTAGCACCACAATTCTACTTCTAATCCAATGGAAATCCAGAAGGGTTAGAGAAGGGATCAATAAAAATCGATGATGTTGCCCATGTATTGAACAAAATAGTGCCCTTATGGCAAGAATCAAAGGCTTTCTCTTCTTCCTAGGCTGGAGATGTTTAGAAGGGCTCTCTAATTGGATGAACATAAAGGTCATGTGCAGGTTGACCTGAAAACTTCCTTAGAGATATATCTATGACTTTTTAATAGCTCTTCTAGTACAGGTCTTACTCCTGTCTTGGCTTCTAAATTTGAAAATGTCTCCATCTCTGAAAAACATTTTTCAGTGGCTGTCGATTACAGTGAAGACAGCAGGGTAAACAGCTGCTTTGGTTTATTTCAGGAAGATACCAGAGGATACCAACTGCAGGTGTTCCTAAATATTAGGGCAATGGGGGGCATCCCTCAATTTCATAAATATAGAAATCTTTAAAATAAAGTACAACTACTTTCAATCCATTATCTGGAATTTTTCTTAGTGCTGTTTTATCTATTGTAAACATTACCAGCTAAATGCTTGAAAATACTTATTTCTTTTTAGGGACTTTATATAAGGTTGCCTTATTTAAAGATACATGTCTTCTTTCTCAGACTCACACTTCCTTTTAAATACCTATCAGTTTTTTAGTAGATGACTTTTATTATATTTTTGCATATATTTAAGGTATACAACATGAGCATTTGATATGCTTTTTATGGGAAAAGCATCTAAATCTACTCTTTTATGAAATTTTTAGTATGTGATACAATATTAGTAACTGTAGCTATCACACAGTGTTATTAGATTCTAGACTTATTCCCCACAACTGCATTTCTTTTTACACTTTGAGTTATATCTTCCATTTCTTTCCTGACTTCAGTAACCATTATTCTAATTTTTGTTTCTATATATTTGACTCTTTAAAAGACCCTACATGTAACTAAGATTGTGTGGCATTTTTTATTCTGTGTCAGGCTTATTTCACTTAACATAATGTCCTCCAGTTTCTTCCTCTTGTTGCAAATGACAGGATCTCCTATTTTAAGTTTGAAAATATTCCATTGTGTGTGTATGTGTGTGTAATTTCTTTATATAATTATCTGCTCATGGACACTTGTTTCCATATCTTAGCTATTGTGAATAACACTGCAATGAACTTATCTCCTTGAGATCCTGATTTCATTTCCTTTGTGTATACACATGAAGAGGGATTGCTGGGCCTTGACACTGGCGTTAGCAATAATATTTTGGATATCACAGGAAAAGCTCAAGCAACAAAAGCAAAAACAGACAAAGGGAATTTCAACAAGCCAAAAAGCCTCTGAAGAGCAAAGGAAAGAATCAATAAAATGAAAAATCAGTCTATGGATTGGAAGTAAATACTGGTGAACTATATATCTGACAAGGGGTTAATATCATGCAACTCAAAAACCCAATTAACAAAGGGACAAAGGATCTTAATGGACATTTTTCGAAAGAGGACACACAAATGACCAACAGACATATGAAAGGTGCTCAGTGTCACCAATCTTCAGGGAAATGGATATCAAAACCACAATGAGATATGCCCTCACACCTATGAAGAGGGTTATTATAAAAAAAGACAAGAGATAACTAGGGTTGGCAGAGGTCTGGAGAAGGGAATGTAAACTGGTACAGCCCTTGTGCAAACAGCCCTCGTGCAAAGCGGCAGGGAAGGTCCTCAAAACATTAAAACCAGAACGACCTACGACCCAGCCTTCATCCTACATTCTCCACCCTCCTAACGTGGGCTGCTGGAGGCCCAAGGCGCCAGACGCTGCCCTCCTCCGGGCCGTCTCAGGGGCTTGACTCCAGGCCGGGGCCCAGCAGCCGCGCACCCGCCGCGCTCCGCACGCGCTGGCTCGGCCCCTGCGCCTGCTCCGGCCTTCTGTGGACGGCGCTCCGAGGGCTCTGCGTCGGCGCCCGCGGGGCCCACCAGGGGGCAGCCCGGCCTCCCAGCGGGCGGCGGGCATTGGGGGAGGGAGTCTGCGGCGGCGGACGGGCCTGGCCGGCGCGGGCGAGGGCGCGACGGGAGCGGCCTCTCGCGTGTCCTCCCCGGGCCGGCCCCCGGCCCGCCCCCGACCCGCCCGGTCGCGAGTGCGGCGGGTTCCGGGTCCTGTGACCGGCCGGACGAGGCGGCGGAGCGCGGAGGGCGGGCCGGCGGCCGGCCTCGGAGGAGTTTCCGTGGCCGCGTCCGGGCGGCCCCGAGGGCGCGGCGGGGGAGCCGCGTGGAGCCCAGAGCAGCCCGAGCCGCGGCGCCCATGGCGGGCGGGGGAGCAGGGGATTCCGGGGCGGCCGCAGCGGCCGCGGCGCCGGAGACCCGCGAGCACCTCTTCAAGGTGCTGGTCATCGGCGAGCTCGGCGTGGGCAAGACCAGCATCATCAAGCGTTATGTCCACCAGCTCTTCTCCCAGCACTACCGGGCCACCATCGGCGTGGACTTCGCCCTCAAAGTCCTCAACTGGGACAGCAGGACACTGGTGCGCCTGCAGCTGTGGGACATCGCGGGTAAGCAGGGCACCCGCTTCCCGAGTCCCAGCGGGGCACCCCGCGACTCCGCCCCTGGCCCCTGGCTTTCCCTCCCTCCGCCCTGAACTCTCTGCCTGTGTACTTTTAGAAGAAAGAGTTCAAGTGAAGTGGGAAAATGCCGTGGGTTGGGGTCGGGGAACCCTCGAGGGGAGCAGAGTGGGCAGCAGTGCAGGCCTTTCAAGGCAGGACAGCGCAGTGCATAAGCAACCGCCCAGCGTGGATGCCCTGCTAGGTTGGTGGGAAGCTCCCTGGACTGCCAAGAGTCGGAAAGGAGGGCCCTACCTGCTCCCCAGGGCTCTCTGGCCTGACCAGCCACAAGAGCTGTTCCAGAAGTTTTAACTCTGAAGAATGACAAGATCATAATATGTCGGGAAATGTTGGAGTGAGGGTTCCCGTGAAGGGGAGACAGGGTTCTTAGAAAGGCTGTTTGGGGGGGCCGCCAGCTCCCCTCCTTCAACTGTCACTGAAGTTCAGAGTGACTGAAAGATGTGCCAGTTAGGGGCACAATCCCAACTAAAAGCCTGGCTCCTTTCAGCCAGTTATTTATCACCCATCTTGGATCTGTCCTAGTTTGGGGAGGGTTTTCTCTCTCCTGACAAGATTAGGAAGTCAGGAAGACTATTCCAGAAGTTTTAACTGACTAATAACAAGCCATGGACAAGAAAAGCTTGGATCTGAGCCCAGCCTTTGTGAGGGAAACTCCATTCCTCAAATAGCTTGCTCTAGGCTGGGTCACCCAGGTGAAGACCTGGGAAAGTTTCCCTGAAACTTTGTCCTCCCATTTCCCTCCCCAAACCAACACCTGCTTCTACCCCTGGCCTTCTCCTCCCCATTCCATAAATATTATACTGTTTCTCTGGCAAAGAGAATAATATAAGATTTTTTCTCTTTGAGGAACTATACATTCCTCTTATTGCATTTATGAACAACTGTACTTTGGCTACTGTGGTGGGTGGAATGTGGGTATCTAAAACAGAGAGAAACTACTGGAAATTTTAATTACTGAAATGGTACCAAAGTATATCTTGTTCATTCATTGCAGAGGTTCAGTCAACCATGGAGCATTTGATTGAATGGGAGCATGGTTAGGGTTAGAGGGCACCTTAGAGCATCCTTCCTACAGACCCTTTCCCTAAAGTCCATCAAGGACATGAACTGGGGGCACAGTGGGAGGAACACAAAGCTACTGTCTGCCAAGTGCTCTTTTATAGCCCCTTACATATAAGGAAGTACTGAAGAATTATTAACTTTATACTCATTTTCTTAAAGAGCAGATTTCTATATCTCAGATAACAGAACACATATCAAATCCTCAGGGAAAGAGCGCTTTGGGCACTGTTCCTTCTTTTTCTACCAGAAACTAAAAGAACGTTTGAAAAGTCATCTTTTGAAGCCAGAGGTTCTTTCGAAACACTTCCTGCTGTTGCCCAGAGCATAAGTGAACATTATACTGCTTCTTGACAAAGCCATGGATTTTAAAGGTTGCCGTACCATGTGACAGTCATCATCCAGCAATCCTCAGTGTAGCTTTTCCACAAACATGATTTTAATCCTCTGTCTAGAAGGGCAGTTGACTTGTCTCATTCTTTATGTAAATTAGTACAGTATTTAGATACTAAATTATGTTTGAGGCCTACTAAAAGCCAAGAGTATGAATAACAAGATTTTTTTTTTTTTTTATGACATGTGCTTTTAAGCTTCAAGGTAAAAATGCTTCTATTGTTGACTTAAGAAAACAAGAGTTTTTCTTTTTGGGTATCACCTCTTCCCTTTTTGTCCTTGAACAGACCAACATAGCCAGGAAGGAGACCTGTCTATTTTTTATCACACTTGCCATAATGGGATATCCTTGCAATTTGCCTAAATCCAAAGCTCAAACTTTGCCAGGGAGGAAAAGCAGCATTTTACGATCTCTAAAAGGGATTTCTGGTTGTAAAGCTACTGTTGTTTCAACAGGAACTGTTGTACCGTTCAGCAAGTACCCGTCAGCAATTAATAAAATTAGAGGCGAAATTATAAGGTAATTAGAAATTATTAGGTTCTTCTTCCAAGTAAAATATTCAGAGAGGGGGTCCTAATATAAGGATATTGAGAGACAATAACAGATTTGGGCTAAAGTTTGGAGAGCTATATCATTAATTGTGTTTGGTTTGAATATTTGAGTAACTAGAACCTTAGCTTGTGCCATTTGAATTTAGTAGAAATGATGTAATGAAGGCCACTCCAAAAATTTCCCCCAAGGCTAAACATACTTGCCTTATGCATTAATACAAAGTTGGATCATATTAGATTCTCAAAGAATAGGAATATTCCTTGATTGCAAAACAAGAGGTGGAGTCAGCCACTTGATATGACTAACGTAAGGGTTGGTGTTATTACTAGTTTCTTTTTATTATTATTCTTACTTTGGAGGCTTTCAAATTGGGTATGGGCATAAAGTAGTTATGCCAATAGTATGTGTCCTGGAAAGCTTTGGCAAATATAATAAGCAAGAATTGTTGAATGGTTTCTATAAATGTAGCCAGTCAGATTTAGTTAAACTTTTCAAATTAAGAACCATAGAACTTTTCAATTGTAAAACTTAATGAATATTTTTTTCATGGCATTTTAAAGCCATGTTTTAAAATAAAGATGTAGTTTAATACTATTTTTGTATAAGACAAATTGCTGCCGCTTAAGTTCATACCTACTTTAAGACTGCTGCTAATACAGAGCAAATATACTAATATTAAGATTTTTAATTATATTTTAAAGAGAGCTGAATAAATGCACACTAAATTCAGATGTATTAAGAGATATCCTTGATACTCCTTTCAAAGCTTAGTGTAGATAAATAATATTTGGGTAACTGTGATTTGTAAGACTTGCTACTAGCAACTATGGAATTTTCCAGGCAGATTTAAATCCTAAAATAGGTTTGCCCATTTATACTTTAAATTTGATGTATTGATTGAAGTGATTTGCAACCTTTCTTTGGACCAAGGACAAATTGGGAATAGTCTACTCTGAAGTTCATGTAATAATTTTTACCCAAACACAAAATGCATGCTTAGAAGACATTATAAATTATATAACACTATAAAGCCATATTTAAATTCATTTTCCCTCATTTCAGTTCCAATCCTAAAGCAGAATGTTGATCCTGATTGCCTTCATCCATCTTTACTTTGCCAATTGTAATACCTAGTAATTTCTTACCCTTTTTCATAACTTTCCATTAAACCTTCATGAGAAAGAATCTGAAATACTACCTTGGATGCTTTCCTGACCTTTAAGCTATCAGTCTGGGATATTAACGTTCAGTAATTTTCTAAATATGAAGAGTCAGTGTTTGGGAGAATTAGTCTAGGTAGTTATTTCTAATCTCTGTCTCACAGAGATACTACAGTAATTTTCCTGGTGCTTATTGGTGCCTGATGACATACACTCATCTAAAAGGCTCTTTTCAAGCTAAATTACATATGAGTGATCAGACTCTTGTACAATCTTGCCATCCGAGCCTTATTGAGGCTCAATTATTGTGCTTAATTACAAAAAAAAAAAAAAAAAAAAAAAGCCTGCTGTTCCACTTGACATGTTGAAATCTTTATCAGTTTCCAAGTTCTGAGACACCTTTGTGTCCACAGTCTGGGTTGTCATTCACAATTGCCCAGACAGATAGTTTATCAGTATAGCAGCGTAGTTGTATATAACTGTTCATTGTAGAACTGTTCATTCTCCTGGTAATGATATGCTTGTGGCCTTTCCCTTCTGAATATGTTGCCATTCTCAGTAGCCTCAGTCAGCCCTTTATGTTGAAAGATACTCAGGTTAATAGAGACAGTGGAATGCTGATAGGAAGTTCTAAAACTTCATTTATTCCCAGATATTTGCCTGCAATGTCTCTCTTCTGAACTGCATTATAGGCTCTAGATGCCCCAGAGTATAAACAGAGAAGTATACTAACTTGAACAAGAAGATACAGGTAAAAATGATATAGAGACAGACTTCATGATTCTGAGATAGGAATACAATAAACTTGATAGTATAGGAGGTTTGGGTTCACTAGTAAGATCAATAGTAAAATTCTTTTATATTTTCAACAGTCTGATTACCACTAAATGGGAGCATATAACTCATTGCAATAATCACTATCTCCTCCTGTTTTTAATTTGGAATTTAGTTATTATACTTCTCTACTTATGAGACTAGAAATTCTTAAGTAGATAGTTTTGGATTGGCTGCATCATTTTCTGTATATTGTGAAAAGCTATTTCTAAACCATGCACTCTTCTGCCATGTAACAAAGTTGTATTATTGGTATATGGTTGTAGCACACACTGTGGAAAAGCAAGGCAGTAATTATAGATGTTTTCTAACCTGTAAGCCATGTATTATTATTCCAGGGCTGGAGTATTATTTTAAAATGTATTTCAGGATAAACTTTATACATGGAATTTTCTATAATACTCATTCTGTTTTATAATGTACCCAGAATTTTATTTTATTTCTGTATGATGAGGCCAAAGACCAGGAGCCAATTGACATTGAAAGTATTTGGTTATTGACACAGTTCCATAGATGAGGAGTCATACTATGCAATACAGGGCCACAGGAAGAAGTACCAGGGACCATTGCCCGGGTAGAAAGAGTATGTGGAATCTGAGCAAGGATTTATAAGCTAAGCAAGTTTGTGATTGGATAATTTGAGTAATTTCAATGGTCTCTGAGATGTTCTGATAGACTCCTTGTCTGAAACCTGTCCCTGGGGTGATTTAGGGCAGGGAAATAATGTCCTAGTCTACAGGAGCCTGCTAAGTGAAGACTGATGGGGACTTATATATTTAGGATTGGTTGGTTTGCATATGAAAGGTGTGCTTGCAGTCATGTAGTTTGCAATCTGTACACATGAGTAAATTCTGGTAGGGGCAGTACCTCCCCAGGCCTGCAAGGCCTTAAGATGTCAAAGCATCATAAAATATAGAAAATTAAAAATTATT